GATGATGAAGGTCCAGAGGTTCTTCCATAGTGAAGATGACAAAGGTCGAAGAGTTCTTCCATGATGAAGGTCCAGGAGATCTTCCATGGTGAAGGTCCAAGGGTTCTTCTTCCATGGTGAGGATGATGAAGGTCCAAGAGATCTTCCATGGTGAAGGTCCATGGGTTCTTCTTCCATGGTGAGGATGAAGGTCCAAGAGCTCCTCCATGATGAGGATGATGAAGGTCAGCAACTCTCCCACAGCGAGACCGAAGGTCAGAACCTCTCGAAGCCTCCTCCACCATGAGGATGATGATGATGATGATGAAGGTCACAGCCAACTGGATGGACACCAAGGGCTGAGGATGACAAAGATCAGAGACCCCAATGACTGCGACGAAGGCCAGGAGCTCCTGGAGGAGGAGGAGGAGGAGGAGGAGGATGAAGGCCGGAAACCTTCAGAGGACAATGATGAACTCTGGGGACTCTCCGAGGATGATGAAGGTTGGAGACCCTTTCTGGTGATGATGAAGGCTGGGAGCTCTTCGATGATGATGAAGGTTGGAGACCCTTTCTGGTGATGATGAAGGCTGGAGACTCTTTGATCATGATGAAGATTGGGACCTCTTTGATGATGATGAAGAAGATCAGGAACTCTTTGAGGATGATGATGGTTGGAGACCCTTCAATGATGAAGATTTGGAATCCTTCAGTGACGATGAAGATCGGGATCTCTGATGATGATGAAGATCAGGAACCCTTTGATGATGAAGATCGAGACCTCTTTGACGATGATGAAGATCAGGAGCTCTTTGATGATGATGAAGATCAGGAACCCTTTGATGATGAAGATCAGGAGCTCTGATCAGGAACCCTTTGATGATGAAGATCAGGAGCTCTGATGATGATGAAGATCAGGAACCCTTTGATGATGAAGATCAGGAACTCTGATGACGAAGATCAAGAGCTCTTTGATGATGATGAAGATCAGGAACCCTTTGATGATGAAGATCGGGACCTCTCTGATGATGAAGATCAGGAACTCTGATGATGATGATGAAGATCAGGAACTCTGATGATGATGAAGATCAGGAACCCTTTGATGATGAAGATCAGGAGCTCTTTGATGATGATGAAGATCAGGAACCCTGATGATGATGATCAGGAACCCTTTGATGATGAAGATGACGACGTTGGCAGC